ATCCTGTGCCGTGCGGAACCACTCCCCCTCTCACTTCGGGATATGGAGCATACATTCGCTCCCTTTTTATACTTTTCGGACTCCGTATAAGATACGAGAAAGTTTGAATGAGAGTCAACGAACCTTGCCATCTGATAACATAAATGCTAGCAGGGTGCAGATGTAGAAAAGCTTCAAATTTGCCGTTGCTGGTGATGACTGGTCGAGTCTATTGATTAGCTGTCCAATAATCATAGTCTCCGAATCATCACATACCGTACCTGCTACACGCGCGGACACCTTAAAAATCGTAAGAATCAAATAATTCAACTAATCACACATAAGGAATTACTAGGCGCTGTTCGGATTGGGAGGAGTATCCTGCAATTACGCTAGTTCCTTTCTCCAGTTCAACTTGTTAACCCTCGTGTAGCTGCTTAAAGGTGCAAGTGAGCAGCGTTGATGACAAGGGTTTACATATTCTCACAAGGCGACCTGTACAGGCTTTGCTAAGTACCATCTGTTGCCCCCACCAAGCCGAACTGCGCAGAATATTGACATCAGGATACATCATCGGGATGTGTGATGGCGATGTCAGTATGACCTTTCGAACCCCAGAAGCATAGAGTTTCGGTACGTCTCCTTTTGCAGCCTACCACCATCTTACCAAGTTTACCAAAATCCTGTACCTGACCGAGTGCTAGAAACGCGCCCAAAACTATACTACGGGGCGAGGCGGGGGTACAACAACCTGAATTTTTCTCTAGGCCAACCATGACTCCCTTCTCCCTCCAGCCAAATGCGGCTCCTTTCAACTTCACAAAGACCCCGTGACAAACAGGGAAAAAGGAAAACCATGAGAAAAACTGGAACTTCACGTACCATATTCTTTGTGAGTCGGAAATACAGGTTGACAACTGGATCATCCAGGAACTGTTGAATTGCCACTTGACATGCTTCAAGTGCATCATCAGCGCGTCCTTCAATCGTGTTCACCTCCTAAAGCCAAGACCTTTTGCTAATGACAGCTTACTTCTAAAAAACTTCAAGCGTACTATGTAGTAGAAGAACAACTTGGCGTAGATCGTTGGAAAAGCTTTTGCATTTGCAAGCTCTGATCGTATTAATGTCAGCATACGAGTACTGGAAGCAGCACTTGGAGGCCCTGAAAAATTGCATTTAAAGACAAACTATAAAACGTAAACTCACCTCCAAAGACGGTCTTCTTCCATGTGGCCGAGCTGGAGGAGTCCCAGCTGCAGTAACGTCTGCCATTCTTACCTCTTGTGGCCTTAGAATGTTCAAAGGGGAACAGCCCCCCGGGGGGCCCGGGTAGTGAAATCCCATGTGGCCCTTCCATACTTCCCGCCTTTTCGCTATCCTCAATGGTTGAGGCGTGCGGTCAAGATGCTGGGGGGGGTGTGTTCGCATCGTTACCGTAAAAATACCGTGGGCGTGCAGATTCGCTCAGAGAAGCAGGACAGACTAAAAGCGATGGCAGGCAAGTAAGCCGTGTTGGTCATGGTTAGGCGTGTGGCTGGCCATGGGTGGGACGGGTAGGCGAGCGGGAGACGTACCATACTGTATGGGCGGCGTGCTTTGGGCCTGTGTCCTGCTGTCCATGCCTTCCGGATCCGCCGAGGTCAGGCACTCTCATCTCGCAGCAGCGAGGCGTCGCTCCCTATCCTAGGATGGGGATCCGGTCGGGTCGCTCACTAAACGCTCCGACACTGAAATCCTGTCATTTTATGAGAGGGGAAAGCGGGCACGCTCTAGTGGCAAATAGCGGACCAGTTCACCCAGAAATGGCAAAGACAAAGGACTCTTAAAAAGTTAGTGCTTACTTTGTCTTCACTTAATTCCTAGACAGAACATAACAGGTATAGGCAATATTTTTAATCACTTACCATGAATTAACGCTTCACAAATGAGTGTCAGTGCTTCAAGTCGAGGCTGTATGAAGTAATCGCCCATTCTTGTCATCATTTCATACTGAAAACAAGTAATACTGTTGATAAGGAACCTCATTTTGACGAACCTCATTTTGACGCAATTCCAGTGAGGTGGGCACTTCCCACTCAAGCACTAAATGCTGTATCTTACTAGAACAGCGCCCTTTGAGCTAATAGTTAAATACTTACTGCCGATTCAAGACTCTGTAGAGCCAAGTCGAGATTCTCTGTGTAAAAGAAATACAACTTTCCCAGTTGAAATCTCACATGTGCGGTCATCTCGGGAGATAGCGTCAATGTGAGGGCTCCCTGAAAGTCTCACCATAAAGCGAGGACGAACAGGCTGACATAGTTGGAGGCAGGGGACCACTCCGCAGCGTCCCTTAGCCCCTTACTTTTAACCAATGCTACGTCTTAGTAGAGACATGTCCTTTCTGCGAGACTGTTTCCCAGCGACTCTAGTCGTCTGCGCTCTAAGCATAAGCTTTAGTTAGGGAGAAGGACTCATGCACGGATGAACCCCCCCCTCTAGGTGCGAAAAAGAACTCTATGTAGAGCACACTCAACTCACCTTCGTACATTTGATAGCCATCTTTACTTTCGGCGGCTGGAGCTGTCGAAGAGTTTCTGCCATGGCCAGCATGGTCATGGCGACATGGTCCCCAGTAGACATCTTCGACACGAGATTATTATTCTCTAGAGAGTTATAACATAAATTCTGAGTCATGGGCAAACCGCTCAGCGCTAGCCACGCAATCGACTCCTACTAAGGGTAAGAGCATTTGCCCATGACTCAGCATTCTTGTGACAACTTCGCGAACCATAGCGATAAACGACAGATAAACAGCGATGAGAAAGAGCAGACGTATCATGCGTATGATGGGACCATATGACGTACAGAATGGGGCGGAGACATCAGTAATGCAAAGCAAACGGGCCTCTCGTTTTCTTGCAGCGCATTTTAGGAAGGGGTACAGTTCTACTGTTGCGGTCTTGCCCACCTGTTTCGGGGGACTTGCCCTCCTCGTCTGCGGATGATGTCACCTCCCGGGTCATACAATGCGT